TCCCCCCCCCCCCCCCCCCCTCCTCCATACCCAAACCCAACAATCACATTCTCTAATAATCTTGAAAGCTAATTGCTATTGATTCCAAGAAAATTTTGAGATTTTGAACTACAAATGCATTATGTAGTGAATATGCAATCACTGTCAGCTCAATTCTTTGAAATGGGAAGAACAAATCCTATACTAAAATTCTACATCTGCATACCAATGTTCATGAAAAATCTCTCTAACAAGATTTTGGCGGACGGGGATAATTGGCAATTGATTACAGTACGTTATAACTATCAGGGATGAGATTCAAAATGAGGAAGTGCTGTGAAAGTGCCGTGTGCTCCAGCTTCTTGTAGAGAGGCTGAGGCAAGAATTTGAAAATTTTAAATTTATTTGGTATATTCTGACAAACATATTTGGACAAAAACAAATAAAATTCATGTATTGAATTTACTTAGAATGAAGTGGAAGATACAGTTGGGGGTAAAAACCAAGTAAGTCTAAACGTCTACGTGCTCTTTGCTGTAATTAAAGGAGCTCCTTTAATATCCAATCGACCAATCATACCTTAGTTTCAGGAGCAGGAATTTATTTAGCTTACATAATCAGTAATAGTGATCACAGCTCATTGTCAAAATTTGAGCATTCAAATTCATGTGTTTCCTTAATTATTCACAGTTGAAAGTAAAAAAATTGACTCCAAACTTAGTGAGACCTATGCCACAGTGAAATTTCTAGTTTGAGGTATTTTGAAGGCATTATGCGATATCTTGAGAGTATTAAAGCACAATAAAGACTCAAATAAATCCCTGAAAATTCCGGCTGTACGCCTACCCCTTTAAGAGTAACATTTCAATGTGGTCTTAAATGAATCCACTTAAAAAGTAGATTTGCCTCCCTTGAATTGTAACTTTGACCGATCTTTTATAAATTATATTTTATTCAATATTACCCTTTAAATGTATCTTATATTAATCTATGATGTGTTTTCTATTATTCAAATTTTTCTACGACAGATTTCATAACCGAATCGCAATATACTTCTACGAAAGTGCGGTTGATTTCACAGAATTGTGCAAGAAACTCCGTTACACTAGTTAGTGTAAACCCCTAAATCGGTCTTTTTCGCCTGGAAGGTTCATACTGCAAACATGCCTGTAAGTGCTCTTCCGAAATTGGTGTTTTGACTGTCTTAACATTATCATTTTATCACGAAACTTGGCAGACACTCGTCTCGGGCTTCATGTATGTTATTATTGACAACGTGAAAAATATGTTATGCAAGGATTTGTTAAATTATTGATTCAATTCAAGGCCTCGTGAGGTAAACAAAATGTGTTCAAGATTGATACAACTTGTTGATGGTTGTCGTAAAAATACTTTTAAATGTTATTTTTTTCAAGGGAGTGTGCTGTTACTTGCCATTTTATACTATAATGGCTATGCCATTGTATTATTATTCCTCTCCTGTCAATGACTTTACCTATTTTGTCTAACAATCTTGGTTCTGTTCTGACGCAGGCCCTTGAACTTGAACTTAGAGTGCTATCAATAGTAATAAAATATTGCCCTTATTTTATTAACGTTGACAGAACTTCTAGGGCTTGTGGTTCTGGCAAGAGTAGACGTGTGATCGGAAAAGATCATTAGATGATTATGATTCCCAAAGTTGTCAAATTTGTCAGCACCAATCCTAATAATGACCTTACCAAAAGACACATGGAAAACCATATTTCTAGATCGTTTCCTTAACTTTTTCTTCGTTGAATTAATGTAAGTCCAAATCTTCCTGGCAAATTGTTTATTTGAAAAAGCTCAAAATGGAAAAAAGTGGGGCCATACTCATATAGGTCCTATTTAGCAAGAAAATGGCAGATACTGAGCTCTTTAGGCAATGTCTTAATTATTGATTGTTGAATATCCCACAATATATTCAGTAGGACTTCTTGGCCATATTTTGTCCACAAAGTGTTTGAGAATGGGTCGAATATCACCATTATGCACTGTATTCTATAGTCACTATATGCATTGTTTGTCCGCATCATCTGGATACTTTAGCTTCATACGCCTTGCTATTGGTGAATCATTGAAGAATATGAATAGATGTCATTGAAAAACCCTGATGTAACATTGTTTAATTTCTATTTCAGTTAGCTACAGATCTATTGCATCCCTCATTGGAGGACGAAAAGAAGAAATCTAAATTGAGAAGATTGGTTCAAGCGCCAAATAGTTACTTTATGGATGTTAAATGCCCAGGTAAGGTAGAAGCCAGAAACAAGCCTCATCTTTGTTTAAGGTCACCAAAATTGGTGCTTCAATTGGACATGTTTTTTTTATATTTTCTTCCTTGAACTGGTTGACGATAAGGAATAGTCCGTATTTATAGGACAACAAAGCATGTTCCTACTGTCAAAGATCTTTCTAAACTGAGGCAAATACATGAAATACCTTTATTCATAGGTCTTTATGAGGATCAAGAGCAAAAGTGTAGGACAATCAATTCATTTCATGCAAATTCAAAACATTGCAGGAACTTAATGCATGGCAGAGTATTCTTTATTCAGAGTTGAATAATCAAAAGGTTCACAACCAAGAGATAAATTTCATGCATCAGAAATCTGAAAAATTTAGAAATTATGAGCACTATGTTAATTTGTCTTGGTGTCTTATTTGCAGGCTGCTACAAAATCACAACAGTGTTTAGTCATGCACAAACAGTAGTTTTATGTGTTGGATGTTCAACTGTTTTGTGTCAACCAACTGGTGGTAAAGCCAGATTAACAGAAGGTATGTCTTCTTATTGCCATAAACTCTTTTTTTCTTCATGATGTTTATTGTGGGTTACTACATATGCCATTAATCCACGATTCTTCCAGAAATTGTGTTTGTAAAATCATTGGTGGCAAGTGGAGTCACTGAAACAAAATATCCAGATGTGCATTTTAATCAGATTGTTGTGTAGTCTGAAAAGTGATGACTTGAACCAAGCACTATTACAGCAAAACATGTAGAAATCGGATTCGAGTACAAATTTGGTTGTAGATCTTGGGTTGGTTGCACAGGCATCTGTTTTTATCGATAGTCGACTCTCTCTATAATAGTATATATATGAGAAGGTGGCTAACGCTATACACGACCCATCTCCTCTTCAGACGATTTTCTACAATTTACCGTAATGAAACATGATCACAACCTTATATGAATCGTTTCATTGAATATTTTCCCTTCACACAAGACCTATCTTATCTACCTCGGTGTTCCTCTTCATACTAATCTAACTGTTGTTCAATAAAAATATTTACACCCATCGTTTCACTATATCTACTTCCGGATTTCAGGGCAGAATGTTATTTATTTTGTAAAGAAAATGATGCTGTAAAATTACTGTGTTGCTATTTTCATTACTTTTATATTTTTAAAAAATAGAAATCACCTATATAACTACTTTTTTCTGAATAATTAAATAAATTGATAAGTCAATAACCATGCTTTTACTTTCACTTTGGTTTTTACTTGACAGGTAATTATAGCTGACTAATCGTATTGACCGATATTTATTTACTGCCAAATTAACCGGAAGTAGATATAGTGAAACGATGGGTGTAAATATTTTTAGTATTTTTATTGAACAAAAGTTAGATTAGTATGAAGAGGAACACTGAGGAGGGAGATAATAAAATAGGTCATGTGTGAAGGGAAAATATTCAATGAGGGAGTCGACTATTGATAAAAACAGATGCCTGTGGTTGATTGGGTGAAAGTTAAATTATTAAACTGTTGCCCTTTAAGCTTGTCACAAATAGAGATTTTACAAGTAATTGTGTAATACAAACTAGTTTAAGCTTGAAAACTAGTATTTTATTGTATCTTACAGGATGTTCATTCCGAAGGAAACAGCACTAACTTCTGGTGTGATTTGTGGTGACCTGTCCAGTTTTTATTATGGAAGTGACTGAACTATGTAAATTATGTATTACATTATAATAATCATTAACATCTTGAAGATGTATTTTGTGATAACTCTTAATTAAAATTGGTTCAGGATATCCACAACCAAATTATTTGCTTTTTTTTTCTTTGCACCCTTTAAAAGGGATAGATACCGTTATCTACTAAGTAGTCATTTTGTCAGACCACATTGAGATCAAAACAAAAACAAGTGCAGTCTACTTAATTTTTAGGTTCCATTAAACCTGTTATGTTTCGAATTGCATTTGGGTGTCTGCAAATCCTCTCTATGCTACAGTGGAAATACAATAGATGTAGAGGCCCATGGAATTGTCAAAGGATAGCAACAAAGCTTTGCCACCTAACCCCATAAAGAAACCCCACTGCTCATTTATGTTGCAAACAAAGAGTATATTAATAATGATAGAAGGATATGTTAATTGTCAAAAAACACGCTTTTCATTGATAATTCTGGTCTAGAGCTCGTGTGAAGGAAGTGGTTTTGATTCATAAGGGAAGTGGAGAAAGAAAATAAACAAAATAGTCAGATAGGGTTTATCAGATCACTTCATGTAAACATTTGGCTTGACCCAACTAAAATTGAGAGAAAGCCCTGTGCAGTAAAGATTAGTGCAAATAAACGCAGAATTTTAAGTAATATCAATTCCATTAATTCCCATTGAACTTGTGAGGTTATTGCAATAAATGCTTTTATCTAATTATCAGAAATGAGGCTTCTTAACTGATTTTTGAAAGAATCTTGGCTCTAGGATATCCTAGAAACCAGAATCGGAATTACTCTATGCCATTATCAATACAGATGAGTGTGTTTTTTTATCTTCCTATGACATACAAAACCAAGTTAAACCTATTGACTATTTTAGTACCATGAGGAGCTCGTGGACATTTCTTGACATACCCAGCAATTTCTTGATGAACTCATTAATGGTTCAGCTTTGTTTAGAACCCATTTCTGACATCCTATCAGAATATCATATCGTATGACGTACTACATAACATTAACATGTATATGGCTGTGTAAAGAATTGCCAAGTGCTTCAGTCATAAGGACTGAACCAGCAATCAGTTTTGGCAGGTTATCTTCACGCTTAAATGGTGGTAAGGTACCACAATGTAGCTAAGTTAAAGTATTTAAAAAATTCTAGAAGCTGGGAATCATGAATGAATTGGTCTGAATCAATTGGTTCAAATATCAGGATCTAAATACTGAGAATCATTCAAAGACTGTAGTAATTCTGTACTACAAGTTCCTGCTGTGCACAAAGTAAAATATTTAAAAGGCGGTGGAGAGCATTTAGTTGTGTGCAACTCTCCATCATTGTCAATGTCTATTTTGAGCAAATAACTATTGAAAGCACCATGGTTCACAATTTCCCAAATACTGTCACCGGAATTAGTGGAAACATGTGATAAACAGGGATATTCCGATTCACTGGCTACAGATCTACAATATCGAACACAAGACAGGTCAATTTTCTCTGGAAACATCCACTCTTCTATATCCCAATCATATTGTCTCATCCATCCCTCTGCATCAATGATAAACAAATTATCTCCCTTTACTAGCAGACGGACAGGAGAAGACAAATAACATGGTCCAGAGAATTTCTTAATTGTTGAAGACACTGTGTCAAAAACATGTCCATCTTTGATTTCAAGGAGATTTTTGCCCAAACTGACCACAATGCTGGCTTTAACTGCAATAACCTTCTTGTTAAATGCATTAATAAGAGATGCTGGGGTGTTACTATGTTCATGTTCAATACCTGCTACAAATGTCCAAGTCAAATCCTCTTCCAGTTTGAAATATTTCTGCTCTGTTTTAAGTTCAGCAACAATTTGCCTACAATTTGATGCCAATGCATAAAGTTGATTATTCACAGCTAAGGGCATGATGCTTTTAATTTCACCTTCAAATTGATCCAAAATATCCTTGATTGAAATTTCTTGACACATTAATGTCTTTAAAGAGAGCGAGTAACAAATTCTCAAATGGAGACTCACAAAATATATTTTGTCATTTAAAGATGCTGCTTTCCAATTATTACGATTGTCAAATTTTGCTAAAGGTATAAAGTCTCCTACTTCAAACCAATTTTCTAGATCCATGTCATAAATGGCTACCTTCATGACCTGTTGACGATTGTGTCTAGGAGGATTCAAACAAACACGTTTCCCATCTATTTTACTGAGTGTATACTCAAATTCCTTCTTATATACATCTTGAATGAGGTTTTTATCCGGTACAACAATTATTAGGCACCTGGTTTTATCACATGGTTGAATGGTTTTAGATACAGTGTTTGATTCGGAAGAAAGGTTTGAAACTATGTCAATAATGAGATCCTTTACCACACTTAAATATTCATCAGATATGTTATCAATCTTATATTTCTCTAAAAATAACTTGGTCTTCAACAATTTTTCATGTTTCAATGGCTCTAAAATTGGTTTTAAAATTTCAAGACTGTCTTCAATATACTGAACCCTTTTATCATCTGAATTATGTTTAATCCATCGCAATAAAAAGCAAATAATTTTCAATGGTGAACAGTATCTGTGCACTTTTCTGCTAAACAAATATTTCATTTGATCATCTGTTAAGGCCAAAATTTCTTCTTGGTAAATAAAATAGTCATGAAAACGTGAGTCAATGACACAAAGACACGTTTTCTTTAAATTCTCAATTTCATATGTGACTGCCAAAATGTAACCTTGTAAAATAGTCCTCAGAGATGTATAAGTTCGGACAACGAGATTATCTACTAGCCTGGCTTGTAAATCTTCAAACATGAAGAATGAAGCCAAATGGAAGATTCCTGGAGTGGTACTGTGAGTTACTGTACATGATCCTTCATAAATTGCATCAATAATTTTTTCAAGATGGCTGACATCTTCTGCAACATTACTCAAATCAATCACAGCTACTCCATCAACAACATTTTCCTGGAAATTTCCAGAAAACATGGCTTCAAAATATGAACTTCTTGCTGCCAATACATTTCTATGAGCATTTACACATGCACCATTGACCATTAAACGAACATCACAAAATGTGCCATCCTTTCTAAATTGTACCAAACTTTTGAGAAGTTGGTTATTATATTCTCCATTATTAGACAGATCTATGTTGTATGAATATTCAACCTCCATATTGATTGTACACTAAGTTACAAGAAGGCTAGCATTTTCCTGTAAAATAAGAAGAAATAATTTACATCTTCAGTTATTAGGAATAAAAAACGTATAACTTGGTTAGCATCTACTTTAGCCTCTGATAGCTATTTTAGACAGTGTGGTCAGCTGAAGTAGGGTCAGAAATGGGGATTTTCTCTTTCTATGAAGGTGTAGGGGTTTTTCCTCAGATTTGCCAAACTCAATATATTCAGAAAGAGTGATATTTTTGTAGTTTTGCCATATCATCATTATCGCCCTACACTATGTCAGGTCTGCACTTACAGTTATATCACACAAATTTATCAGCTTGGAACCAAAAGTTCAAGGGTCACAGGGTCATGTTTTACTAACAAGATGTAAGTAAAAGTGATGCCAATACATTTCAATTGTATAAGGGTTTTCGTGAATCCAATAAAACAAATGCGTTTAAAAAACCCACACATCCAGTGCGGAAAAAAATCAAGGGTTGTGACCCTACCCCAGCCAAAAACTGTCAAAACTATCACTCCAGGGCCTCTGACAGAGGCTGAAAAAAAAAGGCAGATGTTACGGACTAATCAATTTCAAATAGTGTTTTTGTCATGAGTCATAGAATACAGTTCTATGCATATTATAATATAGGCACATAAACGACGCAAAATGATTGACTTGCACTGTGATTGTAAGTGAGATCAAGGGAGTATTTCGGACTATTTATATATGTATAAAAATTGTATACACACTTGACATAGCATACCCACAAAGATATCTTACGTCTATCCACACTCACAAAGTCACTGACGTTTGAACACTTTGCCTTTAGACTTAGGATACTTGAACATAATAATTGCTTTTAATAAGATAGAATATTACTGGTATCTTTTTCCCACAAGTATGTTTGTAATCGTGAAGAATTCGTATTCTTCTACAGTCAAGGTAGATCACTCTAGAATAAGATTGTTTCAGATCATCTTGAATATCCAGATTTGCGTTTGTACATACAATTCTTAATCATTCATTTAGCCTAGGCTACATGTATTACTTCATAATATTTTTGGTGTCAAATTGAAAGACCATACATCAAACAGTACTATTTAGTTGTTGGAATATGAGTTGGGCACATTTAATGCTGATTACATATTTGTAGTCTGTAGTCTAATATTATTAATCCGAAATGGTCTACTCGGTGATAAAGAATAAGCAGTAATCTTTGATAGATAGGGTGCACACAGCAAATCATTTTTTTTTTACTTTAACTTAAGAATGTAATGATATAAATTATTGTATATCAAATAATGAGATATTCTTCCATAGATTTTAAAGAGGTTTTCTAAAAAAAAATTATGTGTAGGCCTATAGACCTACCCATAGCTTTGATTTGCACCATTCCAATTTTCAATTTAACCTCTGTGGATCTTGCAATTCCACTTAAACTATGCTTTTATAACGTCCTTGTCACACAGGTCCTACTTTATATCAATAGCAGCCTTTGTGATAATGGCATTATTTAACGTATACTTTAAGTGAATTCAGGTAGCAAGAGCCACAGACATCTTACTGAAAATTGGAACGGTGCAAATTGGTGCTATCGGGATACTGATGCTGCATATAAAAAGTTTAGAAAACCTCTCTACAATCCCTTAAATGATTTGAATTTGATTGTTGTAAATGCATCTAAATCTGTCACAGAAAGCTTAAAAATATGAGCTTTGTAGGGGACAAGGCCTACCATGTATATATATATATATATATGTAAGCAAAGCATACTGTTTCCCTGTCACAATAAACCCTAAAGTTCCTTTCATTTATGACAAAACCAACTGATGGATGTAAGCTATAAGAAAATAAAACAAAAATATCAATAAATGTATCAAATCATGAATATATTTTATTCTTAAGTAAATTCATAACAACACATTTCATTCTTTATAATATAAATTGAACTAGTATCCTATTACATATCAATATATATATGTATAAATATTCAATATCATTTATTTTAGAATTCAAATTAAAATTGCTATACAGTATTAAGTTATATCCCTTCAATATTCACTTGAAAATTTACATGTAAAATTACAAAAAAGTTGATATTTCAATTTACTGCTGAATGAAAAGAAAGTACTTATTTGTGTGGATTTGCAGTTTACCTTAAAATTAACTAAGATAATGGCACACAAAAAATCACCCAGAAAAAGATTGCATTTATTGCCACCATAATTTATGAAATATGACCAGAAATTATTAACAAAAATCGTTTTTACCAATTTGGTCATCTTCAGTTAAATGTTATCTCAATCTGTGTCAAAGGAGATGCCTTTGGGACATTGACAAAACATTGTACAAAGGGTGCTTGGTCAACAAATTTTTTGTTGGTTAACTTGGAACAAAGTCATGTTGATTTAACAATGTCGTGGGTCATAAAAAGGTCCCTTAAAATACACCCGTATAAAAAGCAATTACATCATCCAGTTGCAAGTGGATAACACAGATAAGATACTTGTAGCTTATCAAAATTCTTATCAAGAATCTTCATCAACTGGTTTTAAGAATTTTTTGACTTTATTTAAAATCTGTGGTTTATCAGGATCAGGAAATATTTTTGGGGTTTTTGCCTTTTTAATACCATCTTCACCTGTTGCTGCACTATTATTCTCTCTCTTCTTGGCAAATTTCTTGGCAATTATACCAATGAGTGTAGAATACCTGGAAAAATGATTTAAAAGATGAAGATGATCTTAAACCAAGCAGAGAAGTATCTTGAGACAATACTCAAAATACTACTCTACATGGTTACTTGTCAATCACTATTTAAGGGCTGACATATGTTTGTTCTGTTTATATTTCACATAAATGAAAAGTTCAAATTCTCCAAACATCATGGGAAACTTTCTAAATTTCTCTTTAACATTGTTCTGCTCATTTGCTAACCTAGAAGCCAGGTTTAAATCCCAGAGCAGAAAAGACTCTGAGATAGCACCTTCAGATATTTCTACCAGCCAGAGATGTAGATTTGATGAACTGACATATGGATGACACAAAATGGGAATGTTGCAGCCTAAAGTTAATCTTTGTTGGCTCTGTTCTAGTGCAGTAGACATTTAGGATAAGACCTCATTTTTCGGATGATATTTCATGATACGATGTTGCAGTACAAACCTTTTAGCCATATCTTGATCATTCACCTCTGTTTCTTTTTCTATCTGTCTACTAACTTTATATTCTTTCTCAGCATTATTACTTTTCATTAATTTCTAAAATTTAATATGGCAATTTAACAAAAAACATGTAATATGGTAAAGAGATTTCTAAACTTTTATGTGTATTTGGGAGCACCAATTTGCAAGTTTCTAATTTTCAGTTAGATGTCCATAGTTCTTGCAATTCAACTTAAACTAAAATATAATATCACTATCACAAAAGCTCTTAACAATAACTAAGGGCCTTTGTGATATTAATGTCATTAAACTCTCTCTTAGTTCGCCTTGAATTGCCAGAACCATAGATATCTGAGCAAGAAATTGATGGTGTAAATCAACGCTCAAGTGTTTCCAATGGACATTAAGGTTACAAAAAACTTCTTTGTGATCTCTTTAAATTATGCTCTATGAGCCTTTTTTATCATACGAAACAAAATGGAACATAAAAACAAAACATTTCAACCATTCAGCTATACCGATATACTGCAGCTTATACTGGCGTTGATATCTTAGAAGATGTCACACCCTGGGCATGATACATGAAACATCAAATTCATACCTCAATTTCAGGATTGCACCCTTTGAAAGACATTCTACCATAATTCAGGTTTTCACAAATAACATAACTTGATTCTATATGATATCTAGATCTAAAAGGACATAATTTTGTTAATAAAATTGTTATCATAAAATTTTATTTTATCTCATAAATGGAACTCTCCATTGAAATTACAAGTTCCAACATCATTTATACATTGAATCAAATAATAATTGATTTGACAGTATAAGACGATGTTCTTTCTACTTTTTTTTTTATAAACCATCCAGTTACTATTGCGTTTTAGCAATTCCATTGCTTTGTTATACTTACTCTTTTTGTTTATTACGAGGAATATCTAAAACCCAATGCTCATCATCAATATCTCGCTGTTTTTCTTCAGCATTTTTCTCTTCTTCAATTCTCAATACACTTCTTTGCATAAACTACACAAAATTTGAACAATAATAATAAAGACTATGTTTTAATCATAGCTAGAATCTTGCTGTGTTTACCAATAATAATATTATAGTCGGACTGATAACAGTGTCATTTTAAACAATGTCTCAGATAATTTTCATACAAGAAATTAACTTCTTTCGAACCACTACTAGGCCTATACAGGCTATGTTTCTGAATTACATTCTCCAACATGTTTTATGCAAATTGGAATGCAACTACAAAACAATACTGAAATCCTTCAGTTATCTCCGAATTGGTGATTATTGTTCGTTTCATTTGACAGAAAAAATTCAGAAAAACAGGCCGATAACAAGAAATTGAAATGTTGATTGCCAGAGACACAGGACAGTCAGACTCAGAGAATGGCCACAAATCAAAATCATCAAATAAAATGAAGCCAAATCAGGAACTAATAGTCTACTAGGCTTAATTTATTACATACTTTCATTTGCATCAGGTTTTTGGATAACCCTGATGAATCTTTTTTATCACCCATTATGCTTGTTTCGATATCTTTAACCTCAGAAAAGATTCCTCTGTCCAATATCAATCATCTTGTTGAACGTTGACAAATTCATGACACCTTACTTTACGACCGAATGATCGAGCAGACAAAATTAGACACACGTGCTTCCGGTAGGAGTAATTATTTATAAGCTTTTCAATTCATACATTTTAACAATTATTTAAATAGAATTCCTCGCAAAATGTAAAATAAAATAAGAAATAGTACAAGATTTATTTTATCTTGTACCCAGTTGTCAATTCAATTAGAAACACTGTTTTAGAGTGATTAATTTTCAGAACACAATGATGCGAGAAAGTCTCTGATATGAAAGTGTAAAGATGGTGGTTTCTGAAAATTGCTGAGTTTTTTGTAAAATGAAAATGGAGTGTCCAACTCGTCTGAATTCATGACATTCACATTACTGTCCAGATATCGGTAATCTTACCTTATAAGATTGTAACAGAATTAAAACTATTACTAATAGATCTATTTATCAGCAGGCAAATTTTTGTTTCCATCGGACAATCAGTTTTATTTCCCCATTGGCATTAGGCCTAGGCCCATAATATGACTAAACTTGAGATTGTGGCATTTGATTAATTCAGCCATTGATTGTGTATTTTTTTATTAGTATAATCTTTCGTCCAGCATATGTCAGTATCAGTATCTAAAGTCCATTGGCGTTAGGGTGTATCGAGGGATGTATTGAGAGGAGTCTTAGTTTTAAGTACCGGTACTCTCTCCCCATCGCATATATATAATATGTTGTAACAGGCCCTGCGACGTATACATCCAGATTCAGAAGCACTGGCTAAAGTCACAGAGCAATAGATAAGCTTATGAATTATGTGAAAATTAGTTAGTCATTAGTATGATTTTAGTTGAAAAGACACACACACACACATACATGTACTCTGACATATAAATTATAATATACTGTAAATAGCAATGTAAAAGATCATGACAACTAATCAAATCTCAGATGGTCTTCAGGCAAATGGCGGATTAAATTCATTATTTTCACTACTCGCCAAACGATCATAAATTTGGGAGAAATAAACATTTAGCTAGTTGTTCACATTGATTTTATTGTGGATATGTTGTTAAGTGTGAAGCAGGGCTGTTGATTGATTTCAAAGCATGACAATTTGACCATAAATCTTGTCTAAAAAGTATAGTATCGGTTCTACCATCTGCATATTTGCCTAGCATTTGACATCAAAGCTACAGGGATATTTATCAACCTGACTCAAACTTCAAAATGAACAAATACCGGTACACAAAATAGCAGGAAATATGTTTTCACTATAATAAATAATTAGCAATAATAAAACTCATTGTATTACTTGTTTATGCTTGTGACATATTTTTTCTAGATAGTCCATATCAAAGCAATAGAAATGAGTTCCAGCAATCTCCTAGATATCACAATTATTAAGGTAATAATTCTTCCTGTTCAATATTTTTAAAATTTTTAACATCAATTTGTTTTATCACTCAAAATATTCTTTATTTTTTGTGTTTTATCACTCAAAATATTCTCTAAGCAACTTTATTTTTTGTGTATAAATGTTAAGGTGAACATAATTGAAAATGAATGAATTCATTGGGATTAATTTGATATTATTTCAATTGTTTTAATTAGGATGCTTTTAACTGGAAACACAATCTTTATTTTCTGCAAAATGTTTTATTGCTGTTGATTTTGGACATTTTGACGATTTCAGGTTAATAATCCAGGAGACTTTCTAGGCAAAGAATGTCCGTCTGTTCAGAAAGCTAATGGCAGGTTTTATCAAGTGATGGATGAAATGAATGAGTATTGTAATAATGATCAGATGTTTTTTAATGAAAACTTTCAGCCTAAAATTGTGAGTTTATATATTTTTGATGGATAGGAATATAATGATCACAAATCATTGTCATTAGGAAATTTTATAGATTAGCATGTATTATACAACTGCTTAGAATGTGATTTAAATCTTTGAAGTTAGTCTTGAGAAATTTAGTTATATTATGTTATTGTTTCATTTTGTTATAACAACTAATGTAATGACAGTTTCCATATTCATTTTATCCTGATTTTCAAGAAAATATTAAAATCCATTTCATATGTTTTTAGGGACAGGAAGTTTATGCTGGATTAAGATTAAAAGATAGAAAATGGCATCGTGTGAAAGTTGAGAATGTTCTTCAGACTAGTAGAGGCAGACAGTGCAAGTATGTAGCTACACTATCTTGACATTATTTGTGATAGTCAACTCCAGGTTGTGGCAGTGGCCCATAACATTCAACTTTTTCTTGCCTGGAGGACCACTTGTGTGGGTTGTTTGCGTTGTTATGGATCAAATCATTTGGTAGTTTACTTTTCTTTATCAGTAAAGCTATAATAATAGCTAGAAAGTAGAAACTCTTTGTATTTACAGTGTGGATTTGATAGATTATGGTGAAGAAGCACAGATTCCAGTAAGCAAGTAAGTATTTTGAATACAGACAGAACATGTTCATGCTTTAAGAACGCCTGATGTGACTCTGTTTTGAGTTTTCAGGATATTCACATACCTTATTTTGTTATTTTGGTGTAGTCATTGAGGCCAGTAAGAATTACTTTTGAATCAACCAAGACCACAAGTGTCATAGACCTTCAGAGTCATTTTCTGTGAAAAGATTATTGATTGTCATAAAGATTTTGTAAAAGCAAGACACATAATAAAATTTTCACCCTATGCTTATAAATCATTCTTTGATTATCTTTGTTAAAATCATTCTGTATTCTGTGATTTTCCAGTATAAGAAGGATTCCTGCTGAATTTCAACCAATAGAAGTGCCTGTACAAGTTACAAGATATTCATTATATGGTATTCAGGCTTTAACTCTTGGCTTAGATTTAGAATTACAAGCAAAAAAGATGTGAGTAGTCCATACATTTGATTGAAAACTTTTTATTGTGCTATACACGTAGAAGACAGAGATCCAAAAAGAGTAGGCTAATGACACTGTCCTGTCTTTACACACTGTATTTAATTGCCTGGGACAATAAGGAAGAAGAAAAACTCTATTTCTATTTCTATCTTCTATTTCTATTACAGCCCTTGTGTAGTATGGGATGAAGCAGCAACTGCCTATATGAAGAAATTAAACAAAGGTACTTTAATCTGTTTTCTGACATTTCTTTATGTGAGATTCAGTTAGACTACTTTAAGCTTGGAAGTTATTCTACAATTCACTTTCAATGAAAACTTAACAGATAGCAAATGCTTTGCTCTTATTTGTCTAAATATTGACTAAATGCTCATATTGAAATTGAAATTAAAAGATATGATTATTTTATTACAGATTCTACCAAGCCACAAGTAGATATAAAGTATACTAATAAAGAAGGTGTAAGATTTGTACAACTATATCTCCGAACACAAGCTGGTAAAATTTGTGTAAATGATGATCTTGTTAAGAAAGAATATGCTACATTAACTCAAGATCAAATAAACAAATTAGGTACGACCCAGATTTTGAACTGATTTTTAATGCGTTTTTTGTATTTTTCAGAAATCGTCTAAATATTGTATTCTGAAATTATGATTTTATTATGAAATTATAATGTTGTTACCAAAATTATGATGAAATTTCTATGGATCGAACTTATGTTGAAAAAGAGGTAAAAAAATGATTTGATTTTAGAAAATCAGTCTGATGTTCTATTTGAGTAATATTTGTGCTATATAAGTGCTATTTAGCATGATTATGTATATTTTCAGATAATTTTAAAAATGGTGTGTATCCAGTAAGAATTCAGGGAAAGAAACCAGTTGATATAGATGAGATGGAATATGAAATTGATCAAATCTACCAAACAATAGACAATACTCGTAAAACAGAGGAGAAAAAACACTCTCCTCACAAATCACCACAAGCAAAAACAATCTTAAACTCTGAAGAAGATCTGCAATTCTTCAAAAAATTTCTTGCTGAACATCGGGGAGAAAAACAGTCCAATAAATACTCAAAAACTATGACTGATGTGAGTTCTGGAGATGACACTTCATTGACATCACCACCTGCCAAATCAAAAACTACTGTATCAGATAGTGAGGCTTTAAAACAAAGACTACAAATAAAACCTCCAGACCCCAAAGCTCTTCCATCAAATATGACCCGTCTTTCAGAACTAGCTAAACTTTTAAGATCTCAGAAATTAAGTGATACATCAAAATCTGCAGATCTTAAAGAACATCCCACAGTTGTCAGTGAAATGGAAAACAATAAAAATGTACTTCTGCTTCATTCTGCTGACATTGATACAATTAAAGTTAAAAAAGACATCATTCCACCCACTTTTAAAAAAGCTAGATTACCAAAGTTTGTTCAAAATAACACTGGAAACAGTGCTACTTTATCAGTTAAGTCAAGTAATGTATCTGGTTGTATGGATTCTGATACAGAATCTGCTATCAGTTTGTCATCTTCAACTTCAGTACCAAAGTCACCAAGGTAATTTTACTGAAATGCTCATATTTTCTTTACCTTAATATTTCATCTGAAAATGTCGCATATTTACACCTTTTTGGTATCAGGGATAAAAGAAATTTCTGATATCACATCTGGTATATGGTATTTATATATGATGTTATATCATTTACAATTCACATGCTTCATTGTCATGAGGCAATTCTATGAATCTATTAATTTGGTTGTTTTTCATGGGCATTTGCTAGTTATGACTTGCTTGGTACTTTGTAAAGAAAAGTTACTAATAAAAGAATTTGTGTTGGGTCATTGTGACCTAAAATACAAGTTTCAATAGGCCTTCTTAGAAATCTACTTTCAGTTTTACTTTTATTGATTGTTAGTATTGGATATTGATATTATCACAAGTCATTACTGTTTCTTTATGGGCAAATTCATTTTATAAAATGGTTCCATTTATTTGTGAGCTTAAAGATATAAGAATAAATTTGTAGTAAAATAATTAGAGATTGGTATATGATATATAGAGAAAAGTCTTCAACAGAGATACAAAATAAGAATGGTATCATATTTAAATGTATTTACACAATGCATATTTTGATTTAAAATGCATATAAGGAGCGTGAATATGTAAATATTTTAATAAAGGATATTTTGTTTCAGGCATGAGATATCACCAAATACAAGCCTATCATCAAGTAAAGGTGAACAAAGATCTATATTGAAGAAATCTCAAGTTAAACGATTATCAGATACTTCAGATTCACCAACCATCAGGTATTAAGTTTGTAATAATTTTAAAGTGGTGTATGATCAACAGCAGTGAAACTCATGTCAGTAAAGTTTTCAAATTTCAAACAGAATGATTATTGCTATGAAAACAAAATTAAAACATTAGTTTTTATGTGCTCACATTATGCAAAATTGGGGGCCTGGTGCTGTTTGTTTTCTATATTATATTATATAATGCCCTAAGAGTTCAATTTTCAATTAGTATTGCTGAAACTTGAAATGTTATGGTCAGAAATGAAAATCATAGTCAAATTTGGTCGATGATAAGAAACAAAAGCTATAACTCTTGCCCTAGACATTGAATATGCTATAGATTTTTTTTTTCTCAAGATTTTTTAAAAACTTGTTTTGTAAATTTATAAACAAAAAAAATAAGATTAAGTGGGAATTTTGGCTCTTTATTTAATATTTTCATTCATTGTTGAGTTTAAGCCCTGTACATTTAATATTAGAAATCAACATTTGGTCTTTTCTTAATATTTGAAAATGGTATTATATTTTCGTTACATGCATTTAGGATTTGTTAATGTAGACTTTCTTTTAAAAATTTAATTAGTTTTCATTTTCTTGATATTTGTTTCTATGGATGTATTTTTAAAGTTTCCCTTTTGATTTTGTTGTAATTTATGTTTGAAAGTCATGTATTTTCTTTTTGGGATTAAATTTAAAAAAAGAAATTGTTTTTTATTCATTCAACTCAATCAAAAGGGAAATTTTAACATTTTACAATACTGGTATAGAATTTAAAAAATAATAACTTTTAACAAAAACTTTGAAGAAAGTCTACTTATGCATTATATATACTGAATTATGTTTTAAATAGAAATGAAAAAATTTCCCTTTTAAATACCCTGCACATTGGTAGAAGTTTCAAAAATAATCACGAGAGTAGATTAAAGTGAAGTTGTTGAAGCTCTACATGAACGATATATTGTTTATTCCACATAGATTACCATAGAAAACATGATTGGTCCCAATTATGATTCGAAACATTCCAGGTTGTGCCTAGGATCAGAATTTTGCAGCTTGAATTTTTTTAGTCGTATCCAATTACTTATGTGCCAAGACATGCACAAACAAAGATATTAAATTTGGGTTTCTGCCTTGATGCCAACATTAATATGATCCTAGTTTTGACTAGAAGCTACTTTTTTTACACATACTAAGCAAAATCTTTTAGCCAAGACAAGATAAGCCTAGATTTTAAGGTTAACCAACTATTCATGAAAGATCCATCAAAAATGTGAAAAGAATCTGAATTGATGAATTATAATTTTGAAGATTTTCTGAGTTATCAAGTGATGAAGCTAGTATTATCTGTTCTACCCAAATTGAATTTGATGATGAGGAATATGATCCTGATGAAGTGAAGAGGAAATTTGTTGGTCAGGCACATGGAAGAAGGTAGGTTCTTATTCAGTCTAATTAAAATTACGCCTAACTTTCGTTCATATTTTATTAGTTTCGAATGTTTATTAGCTATTAGCTTTGTATGTAACCACTACAGTAAGGTCTAACACTGTCTTGACTTTTCATTCTGTTACCTTTGCTTGACCTCTGTTTTAACCAATCACTTTGCTGCCCTTTCCAGGGAAGGGATAATATGATGCGAACAAAATGTGCATTCTGAAGCGTATTAGACTAGCGGACTTGATAACAGAATGAAAAATCAAGAAGGACAGTGTTAGACCTTACTGTAGTGGTTACGTACATAGCTAATATTTAATAAAACATTCGAAACAAAACCAATAAAATACGGATGGAAGTTAGGTGTATTTTAATTAGACTGGTTCTTATTCAGTTACCAGCTCAAGGTACCCAATAGAACCTTACACATACACAAACTTATAATAGCAAATAGACCATTATATTACAGTATTACTCCATATTACTCCAGACCTTAAGAGCAATGAATGTCATACAAACATAATACTTTTCATGATAACTTTTACTATGACATAGACCTTTTGTATCTTCTTTCCTTCATATTTCATAGCCCCATTTTTACACACAATTCTCATTAAACTTCTCCAAATTTCAAATTAATGATAGCAATTTTTCACAGATTATAGAATTATGTTTTTTATAATAAGATTATGATAAAACTATGTTACTACAAAAATGTTTTTTATTATCTACAGATTGCTAGAGAAATTAGTACCTACCAAATTTTATCAGAAAACCTATTGTACTCCTGGTATGGAAAAATTAGTAAGTAATATGACTTGTCAAGTGTATTGTGTTAAATCTATAGTGGGGAATTTCTTACAATAGCACATGGACTCAGTAATAACCACTCTGACAGAGCAAATTGTCTCTTCAGATATATATGTTTTGAATGTAGTTTTGGTGGACTGATGTTCATATGCAACCTGGTTTGAAAAATAGTGACATATCTGTGTAAACTTAAGAAAAAGAACTTGAAAGAAGAGAGAGTGGAATTCCCTTAAACTTTACTCTTTGAGTATTGACTGCTTGTTTTTCTTTTTCATTGGCTTTTTGATTTTGATAAAAACTTGTATTACACAAGGACATTTCTACCATGTTGTGTGTCTATTAATTTTGTAGGTTGACTTGGTGACAGGCCTAATTCTATATTTTAATCTGTGTTTTATTGTAGAAAAGTTTACCAGAATTAATACATGGGGTAGGAAACATACAACCCTATACTGATCTAGAGAATCTACCTTTTTCTACACAGATAAACCAGGTAAAACTAATATACTGCAATAAACAGTAGGATATTTCATAGATATTTTGATTGTAAAAGGAGGTAGATTAGCCATACAATGTAGTTCATATTAGTTATTCTGCCATGCTAATAAAATCAGACTGATCTAGTTTGCTTATAGAAACATTTATACTAGGGCTGCAATGATTGTTGAAGTTGCGATTTGATACACTATACTATACACATCCAACGATACGATTTGTTGCAATAATTATCACGATACATTTATTAAAGAAGGAAGGGGGAAAAATAGTAGAAATTTGTAAACTTACTAACAGTTTTGTCACTATTAAGCACTTGAGAACATTTAGAAGTAAAGAAAATCTTAATTTTTTATAGTTAGAAATGAATTTTTACAAATTTTGATGTGAAAATCGTACTTGGAAAATGAAAACGTGACACAATTTCTTATACACACAAGGTTTCTGTGTCATTTGTTATTAAAGGTGGCTAAGAATTAATTGTGCTGATACATCACGATTATTTTTATCCAACACAATGCATCGATAAGAAGGAAAGAATCGCGGTTCATGGATTCATTGATGAATGGTTGCAGCCCTTATTTATACATGTTCACAAATATCTTCATACAACTACAAAAAAACTGCTATAAATATTTTTTGTGGATTACTTATTCTTGACGTAAGAAAAGTATGTTCATACTTCAACTAATCAAATTCTCTGCTCTCTTTTACTTGATATGCATTATCCCATAGGCAGTGTAAGTATAGATGATCAGAACATAGTGTGATCTCACTTTTAATAGTAATTTTGAAAAGTTTGCATAGATCATTATCCTAATGAGACTTTGATTGATTTAATTAAAATGTTAATTTTTTGTTCATTGACAGTATATTGAAGACAAAAAGTTTGCTACAATGTTCACAGTACAAGCGTATTCCTGGCCAGCTATTTTAAAAGGTAGAAGTGTGGTAGGAGTCTCACCATCTCATACTGGTAAAACACTAGCCTATCTACTACCAATATTAACACAACTATTCCAAGCTTCATTATACTTAACATTACCTTCTGGTGGTGGGGTAAGCTTCTTTCTTACTTAATCTTGTTTAAACTAAGCACGACAACACTGGCCCTACCCAGTTCCTCAAACATTGTATGTCCATTTAAAGTCTTCAATGTTGAGTTTTTGTCGCTAATTTTTGTGCTTGTGCTTCCACAACAAGATTATCGCGTCCCCAACAGGATTTGTAACATTAAACAAGTTTGATAATTGTCTCCGATAGTTTTATCGTTTGGAAGACAGACCGTCATCATCCAATCAGATTTATTTTCCGTTTTAATTGCATGCTCCTCACGTGATTATAGACATGGAGATGAAATGACCGACTGAAGATTTTCGTCTCTTTGTGTGTCCATGCTAGTCGGTAAAACTCTTGACAAAAACCTCCAATCAATGTGCCTGCACTTTTATATGTTGATTCCAACCCATTTTTCGGACATATTATTATTTGACGAAAAAAATATGTATTCATGTGATAGTTTGAATGATTTTGTATTTGACTGAATCAATGAATGATAATAATGTGATAAAACGTGATATTTAACCATAGATATTATATATTTATAGCCAATTGTATTGATATTAGTATCATCATGGAAGAAAGCTAAATATGTATATGAAGAATGTAGAGAGGTTATTAGTGGTAGAAAAGATAATAAATTATTAGTATTATATGCTGGGGGATCTGAAGATAGCCAAATAGTGAGTCAATCTTGGTTTATTTAATTTCTTTTTAACGCAGATGAAATATGATGTCATTTATTAATAATTTATTAATATATTATTAGAAAGTACTGATGTATCATATCTGTTAATTTTTGCTGTTAGTACTGTTCGTCACCTCAGGTCTATAATGTTCTATCTCCACTTTTTGAAAAACATGAGTTATTGGTGCCGTTGAAATGAGCGTGGAAAGTTCTATCTCCTGATAATATTGTAATTGTGTGTAAGGCTGTTCATACTAAAATACAGGCTATATTAGCATGGTTTATATCCATTATTGGTATTAAACTTATTTCCATAGTGTTCTATGTCCAGAAACCAATCAATATGTACCATTTTAATCACGTGACGTCAAATCAATAACAGTTCTCTCTCTTTTCCTTGCCTTGACAAAATTTCACATGGTGGGATTTTAAAAAGATTTTGGCTAAATTTCAATGGATGTAAAGTATGTTTTATGGTGTATAAGAGTAGACCAGAGCCACTGTCCTGGCACAATATTCCTATTTAATTACTGTTTTTTATAGCCCAACTAGGTGCTGAAAAGTAGGATATAAAACTCCTTCCTATGTTTTTTTTTTCATTTAGACGTGTAATAATTACTCTATATATGAATTTTTCTCTCTACAGTATGCTCTATTAGAAGGTTGTAAGATATTAGTAGCAACACCAAATTGTTTATTAAGAATGTTAGATAGAGGTTATACTAATCTTAGTAGACTGTGTCATTTAGTAAGTACCTGGTACTACTATATCTACATTATTAAACTCATTGGAAACAATACTCCTTCAAATTGTTTCATGTCTTATTTGGAAGATGTTGTAATAGACCTAACTAGAGGTTATGCCTGTGCTTTCGTAACATTACCTCACTGCAATGTTACAACCTAAAATTCCTAATTGTACAAGTGATTATGTGTTATCTTTTGTATATGAGTTTTCTACTCTGTATTTTTGAAACCATGAACATGGCATCTGGAACAGAAAATTACTAGTCAATCCAGACTATTCCATTGTCTCAATAAAGTATTTATTCCATCCTAGGCCTGTACATTTGGGAGAATCAAAGCCACCCTTCAAGGAATTCTACATATTAGTGTATAATAGAATATACCATTTATATAAAACGCACAATTCTGACCTAAAAGTGTCAGCACTAAGACTTACAATATTGGTTCTTTTTGCACACTCTCTAAGTCTCATTTGTTATTTTAGGTTATAGATGATGGTGAAATACTAACAGAACAATTTACAGAACAAGTGAGTATTTATTAATTTAAACTAATGTAGAGTTGACTGTTTTTAGTGGATTACACCATAATTTACACTAGTGCTAGGTTCTGCCAATCTTGCCAAATACAATGCATATTGCGCTAAAAGAAAGAAGATACTACAAAACAAACAAGTTATGTATATACATTTATTTGGTATACATAGTATCGTTAAGTATTGTTACATAGCCACACTAAACTATTAGTTACTTGTATGTTGTATCGCCATATTATATTTTGATCAAATATATATCTTGCCAGCATTAACTTCTCAGGGTATAAAAAATGTGTTTGTCTTAAACATGTCTTTATTTCTAATGTTGATATATTGGATTATTGTCATAGACTGGATTATCTTTCTATTCAGATGAATTCCTTTATGAAGCAGTATGCTCTAGCATTAAGGGAAATACAGGATTTAAATGTACCAAGGCAGATAGTGTTGTTTTCAAGTCAATGGACACCATACGTTGAAGCATTTACCAAGACATATTTTCAAGCCCCATTAATAATGATATTATCTAGAACTGAAGGTGCTGTGTATGGTAAAGTCAAACAGGTAACGTTTAGTTTGATGATCTATTATCTTAGCAACAAAAATGACACTCCAAAAATCTGATTTCCAATATGGTGGGCGACCACTTGAAACCTCATCGTTTAACGATATATTACACGAAATTACTTTTTAAGTAAAAACTGAAAAAACTATTTGTACGCGTATTTTGTTGAAATCTTTTTTATTATTTTTTTTACCGCTATACATGGTTTTCATTCTTTGAAAATATAAACCTCGTATAACAATTTGAGTACTCCGGCCCATTCAACCAATAACTCGTATAATAGTATAGTATACAAGGTTTTTCGTTTTCATCCACAGAAAAAGGAACATTAAACCTCGTATAATAATATATTTTACAAGGTTTTAAATCTGACTGTTTATATACGTGTTATTTAATTAGTTGTTTTTGAGTTATTTACAATCAAGCTAAGATTACGAGGTTTTGATCACAAAATCTGCGTTTTACGAGCTTTGGGAATGGTACCAACAAGTCAAAATGACCAAATATGGCATATAGGGTCAACCACCATATTCTTATTCGCGAAAACTTAATGTAAGATGATTTTAGTCTTCCAATCATATTCCAACCTCAGTTGCTGACCTTCAGAAGTCATCTTTCCTAATCATTCCAGTCAGCCCAGCTGCAGAGGATACAGGTAATTTAAAAGGATAAATGCTGATGACCAGCTGGTAGATAGGAATAGCTGGAACCGAAGTTGACAATCTTTTAGAAAAAAGTTAATACTATTCTTTCTTTACTTGGAACATTTGTATTGACATTTTGGTGACATAAGTCGTCCGATTCAGCACTTAATAAATATTTATCATTATTCAGGTAGTTCACATGTGTGCTTCAAGACAGAGAAGTAGTGTATTATCTCACCTACTAGAAAATATTGATAAAAAGGGACATAAGATTATGATATTTGCCTCTGAAATAGAAGATGTTGAGTCTATACGTCAGGTTGGCTTGATTCTATTATTATATTGTTATATTTGATTACAATGGACCTTTCATTGATATCCCAAAAAATGAATTTGTTATTCATTCAGATTCAGTTAAAAATTTCAAAAACATGTATCAAATAAGATTTTGAAGAGCTGTTAAATCTGATTTGTAGCAAATATTGAAATGTAGCTTGACTTTGGTTAAAAATTTATATTAGGTCTATCAGAAAAAATTCAAGATACCAAAATTGAATTTCCAATGGAATGCTTTTAATTATTTGATCAAACCTGAACTTTATAAACATCAGTAAGTACACATGCTGGTATAGTCTGATCTAGAGTGTAAATATTAAGTAAAAATGTTTTGTATTTTATATATAGTTGTTAATGAGTCGTAGTATGTATGGTATTATAGCACATAATAACATGACACTAGCACAACTAAACGAAGCTTCTCGTACCTGGAGAGATTCAAAGCCATCTTCTAATTCTGTTATCATGGGTAAATCTTACATCTTTTATCTTTTTTTGGCCAATTAGCACAATTGCTTGTGTATTTAGTTGTTAAACGCCTGAAATCAAGGTACTTCCCTCGGATGGTGAAACATAGTTTCCCTTTGTCAGTAATTTTATACAATAAACTGAGGCCCTGTTTGCAACAAGTTATGCACTTCAAAGATCCATTTACAGATGGAAATTGAAAAAAAAATTTTCCCTCATTGCACATGGCACAGTTATAACAATCTATATGAGCTCAAACAGGTGCACAATAGATCAAATTTCTACAATATTTATATTTTTTATATTAATAGTGTGTACAGATGAATGTATAGCTAATTTATCAATAACAGATGCTACACATGTTATACATTATGATCAACCTCCTTCAAAAACTAAATTTGGTGTTAGATTATCTTGTCTCTTTAACTATTATAGAAATCTTCCTGAAAAAATAAAAGTGAGTCCATTAATTATTACACATTTGAGATTTAAGACCAAAAGTCTATGTGTCTTTGTCAGCTGGAAAAAACACAACTTTACAGGTAGTTAAAAGTAACATTGTTGAGAATGAAATATCAACTTCAGGTTTGTGTGCAATTGCTCCAGAAAAGAAATATTTCTATTTCCATGAGTGGCAATTGTATTATAGTTGTCTAGGCTTTTTTCCCTCTAAGAGAAGGACAAAATTTATACAGGAAGCTAAAAATATGTTAAAGTTGAAAAATTAAATGATTGCATCTTTGATCTAATTTAAAGATGGGTTTTAGTGTCAAATTAAACAAACTATTTCATGAATTGGTGTTTCTTATGAATTATCATGTATTCTTGTTCATCTAATTTTGTTCTTGTTGCATATAATTAAGAGTTTTAACCAATCATATATGTCCATGTATGTTCAGTCTGGATAACAAAAAAAAGACTCTTTGACCTTTCTTGATCTGTCAATCATTGGAATTCTGCTGGTAATTCTTTTCTAATTTAGCTAATTATGAATTAATTACGGACGTGTGAGAAAAACTGGCACATAAATCCTTGATTTAAATTTTAAGCCTTCGATAACACCAGTATCAGATATATTGGCTACAGAAAACTCATTACAATCAGCTAGAACATTGAGTAGTTTCCTACAGAGATCAGGTGCTGTTATTCCTCCAGAATTTAAACATCTTGTAGCTGGTCTGCAAGCTGTAAGTATTGTTCTCATCAATTACTATATGATGACGTTCACCGAGCAATAAATAAACTCCAGTTTTGATCATCATTTCCTGCTTTAATCTAGTTAGCTGTGACCCCAGGTCTGACATAAGTGGTATCATATCTTTAATTCCAATATGATGTCACTATTGCAAATGGTCTCTATTTAAAACAAGAAACAACCTGTTTATGGCCTTTTTTAGAATTGAAGGATTTACAGACCTGCAAAGGGAAACCAAATTGGTGAAAATAAATTCACGAACAATCTAAAAAATTCTTTTGTAATCCATTAACAATAAAGAAAATAATTATTATTATAGGGTAGAGATGATGATGAGAATATCGCCTTATGTCCTTATGTTAAAGCTTTTGGTAAATGTAGGTTAGTTCTTTATATTTTCTTCTGTAAGTAAAAAATAGTTGTGTATTAGACACATAGCTAGTCTGCAGGATTTCATCTTTTTTTTTCAAAAGCTCAATTATCAAAGACAAGGTTTACTTCTTAGGCAGAGGAAATACCTTTTGTTGGCTTTGTTACTAAGACTTGAAAAATATGCTAAAGACATGTTTTATAACAAGATATCGGTTTGATATTATTCTTCATTTTTAGCAATCATCTTCGCTGTACCTACAGACATCAGATAATACCAGAAACTGATAATTCAGATGATAAAAATAATCCTAATTTACCTATTTGTGGTGAAACTAAGGTAATAATTAATTCTATTCGTTGAAATAAAATAGCAATGCCATCGTTATATGCCCTCATAGGAAATATTTTTCGATTCGTCTGATTTTCAATAGGGTTCATCCTTAGGTGATTACAAACACTCACACCAAGTTTCGTCAAAATCCATCAAGAAACCAGCTCCCTATCGTGTCCACAAACAATTGTGGACAGACAGACAGGGACCACGACTATATACGCCCACACATTAATGTGTGGGCGTATAAAAACTCTGAAAGGTAAAGAAATAGCCTGCACTCATACCCATCACATTTTATCCATAGTCCCATTGTGCCATTTCCAAGGCCAATTTTTTCCACTTTCTTGTGGACTAATTGGACACATTATTGTTGCTGAGAAAGTCCAATTGACCAGATTTTTTCTAAAAGATCGTGGATTTTTTATGACCTTTTGAATTTGCATCTCAATAGCAGAAACTTTTCGTTGGTCAAAATATCTTCAGATAATCTTGATACAACATGACACTGTAATTGTAATTTTTAGATGAAGATATTAAGTATTATAGATGCTAGTCACTACTATGCTAGATTATTAGAGGTCAGACTACCACATACTACAGATATTCTAGATTTAACAGCAGACTATCTTCAACTATTTACTCAGATGGATACTCATTATAAAAGTCATTCTCATAAAATACATCGTAAGTTATTGTACCCTTTCATTTTAATTCTATTACTGAAAATTGTTTTGTATTTTGGCATTTAAATCAGATTTATTCATCAAAGGAGGATTGGTATGGTTCATTTGTATTAAATCTATAAATATAACCTTGTATTACATCTTGATCAAACTTATTTATTTGTGTGTTAGCTTGTCCTTTAAGCAGATCAGAAGTTATGAAACTGCTCAAAGAGAATTCATTTTGATGGAATTTGAGGATTATTGTCTTTGTACATTAAAGAGGTTTATTGATGATTTCCATCACAATCTTCAAAAATACTAAATTCATTAAAAAAAAACTTAACAACACTACAGAAACATCAACCTTAACATTGGTATAATTAATTTGATAATTTTTTTTCTGTAAAGCAACTCAAAAGTTGCAATTGCATGGACAATATGAGCTTCTGTTTATCTTCATTTGAACCTCACTATGTATTTTGAATTATAAAAATCTAATTGGTTTTGTAGGGATGTCTAAAGTAGGTGATATATGTGCTATAAATGATAGTAATAATCAATATCACAGGTAAATATAGTATTTAGAAACTCATAGATACCTATAACACAAAATATATAGTCCCTTTTCAGAATAAAATATAGTTTCTACTTCATCTACAATATAGAAAAGTCTGTGTTGCTATAAGAATGATGTTGAAATCACTAACTGACACTGTTATACTGAACATATTGATAAATATTATAATTGTATTATATTGTAGAGTGAAGATATTGAAAATATACTATTCTAAAGCAGAATCTACTTCTGAAAAAGCTGTGGTATGTAGTTGAATAAGTTGTATCCAAATTCTAGTATTTCAAATTTCATTGTTTTTTACAAAGTTGGGTTTTTATGACAACTAGATCTTTTTGTCGAGAATAAATAGTTGAAATTTGACGTTTTTCTTCAGACAATTTGACCCTGAATCTATTCAAACACGTGATTTCTGCAAAAACTCAAGCCGACTTTTCACCTGTTTTACTCATGAACCATTAAATGATGGCTACTGTTCAGCAAAATAAACTTATAAAAGTATTTATTAAAAGAATGTCATATCCCTATGAAGAAAATATTTTTATATTTATTATGTTGTATATATAATTATAGGTACAATATATTAATTATGTTGTATATATAATTGTAGGTACAATATATTGATTATGTTGATAATTATATAATTATTAATTATGTTGTATATATAATTGTAGGTACAATATATTGATTATGGAACACAGAAAGATGTTTTATGCAGTCAGTTATTATTTTTACCACCACTTTTAAAAGTATATCCACCTCAAGTAAGAGTTTCTCCTCACACAAGCCATTGCTAAATATCTATTTTTTAGACACAAATTTGCGAGGAAGAAATAAGTTACATAGAACCAAATAGACAATAAGATAATTGCTACCCATTCACCAATAACATGTAAATGTAAAGTTAAAAGCAATTGTTTTCATGAAATTATTGTAATAAATTTGTGGAACTTAACTGATAGCATTAGCCACAGTTCTTCTAATTATTAGCTTTTTTCACAAACTTGTATTAAATGACCAGTTATAACTATTTCTATATATATTTTGATTTGTAGGCTGTAGAAGTATATTTATGTAGAGTAAAACCAATAGATAATGATTCTGAATGGACACCGAAGGTAGTTTTTTATCATAAAGTATTTATCAGCAGTATTTACTGATTTGGATTTGCATTGCATATTTTATGTCATAGTCTAACAGTAAAATATAATATTGATAAAAACAATTTATACACATTAGTTGAAGATGGCGTTTCGAAGCCAGGTGACAGCAGCTTTGATTGCAAGTTCAAATCATTGTTTGTAGCCTGTACAGTGGGCATGAGCCAATTGTGAAAAGATGACAATATACTTCCATACTACATGTGGGCATATAAAAATCAAAAGAACCCATAAAGAATTGTTGTCTGAAGAGTGAGCAAAAGTTGCACTATATAGCTAATACAGTGAAAACGTTAAGACGGACAGGATATTTCGATGAAAAATTATCAGATCATCACGAAAATCGATAGGAATCATCTTCTAAATGACATTAACCCACAAAATAAAAATCAAAAGAATCTGTAAAGAATTGTAGCCTTTAGAGTGAGCATGAGCCAAATGTGAACGGACCGACGGACTGTCAAGGTGATTACAGTATACACCAAAAATATATTTGTTGGATAATTAAAATGAATATTAACATATAACTGATTGTGTTTATATTACAGGCTAACAGTTGTCTGTTTGATTTAATAAACAACATCATAATAGATGGTAGAATTGTCTTAAGGTGAGATTTTCACTGATAATTTTAAGCAACTCAGTCCTCTTAAAATTTGGATTTCCTGATTGGTATTATGGTTTCTGTTATCCAATATCTAAAAAGTAAATTTCATTATTGGAAATAGAACGTCTCTATTGTGTCTAACTAAAATAATCAATTATTACACTATAGTAATGAATTGTATTCAGCTAGCACAGGTTTTGTGAATTTTCTTTAAAAAATGTAAGATTTTTGGCTGAGTTTTTCTTAACTAACAATTAAAACTTTATTCAGTCTAGGAAATACTATTTGGGTTGATCCTCTAGCTCAGAGAGAATATTTAGAAAATATAAGATCTACTATTAATAAGATGAATATTAGATCAGAATTGATCAAAAATAAACTAGCAACAGATAATCCTGAGGTATAATATTTACTCTTTATTAAAAGTCAAAATATTCACTTTCCCAGCTGATCAGAGTGCATATCTTTATCGTGGGCTAAATGTTTTCAAGGTTTGGGGTAGAATAAAAGAAGATTTTACACCATGCAAACCAGGATTGCATTATATTCATGGATAACTTGAAATCCTTTTAATAAACCAGACCTATGTGAATCGTTCAAGCATGTTTACGAATTCTGTTGCTTTCTATACATGTTAATGTCAACCTTGCTATTGTCAGAATCTGGCAAATTTTTTTTTATACAAATGCCATTGCCAGGAGTTACTTGTTCTCTGTGACAATCTGTGTGTTAAAAAGATATTTAAAAGTTGTTAAAATATTATGATGATATATTGTAGCATGTACGAGATTTGATAGAATTATTCAGTGGTAAAATACCTATTGATGATACTGTTATTAAATCTTATTTATGTATTGAACAGTAAGTGTTGTTATTACATAATTTGATTACAGATTCATCAACATACATTCATTAAATTTACTTCATCCCATCAGTCTCAAATTCTGTGCCACATTCTCACCCAATACTCAGATAGCAACATGTCATAGAAAATTTCTATGGATTCAACCTCTTTTTGTAACATCTCAGTGTATCATATTAAAGATAGTTTTCCTTGTGTTTTTATGTCAAATTAAGGAAAATATTTGATTAATTGGTGTATCTAATGAATGTATTCTTAATCATATCATTATGTTTTTAAGAGTTTTAACCAATTATAAATGTCCAGTCTGGATAAACCAAAAAAGACTCTTTGACCTTTCTTGATCGGTCACTCATTGGAATTCTGCTGGTAATTCTCTTCTAATTTAGCTAATTATGAATTAATTATGGACATGTGACATAAACTAGTATTTTTCCAAGTCATTAGAACACCTCTACATTCTAAGTATTAGCATTTTCATCATAAATGAAAATAAGGGAACCCATCTTTAAAGATTTACATAATGGAGTGAGTCTTTTTCATTTGACAATGTTAATTAGCTTTCTCTGTTCGTTGAGTTACTGGAGGTACTGTCAGTTTAAGTGTCAAGAGGAAATATTACCATTTTTAGGAGTTTATGTTCTTTGTCAACTTTTGAAAGACATTTAATAACCTTTGTAGTAGTAATTGGATACAGTTATGATGTATATTTATAGACAAGAAGAAGAGAATGAAAGTGAAATACTACCTGAAGCATTAGAATATCATGATGTTTATGTTACTGCTGTTGATCATCCAGGACGTTTTCATGTACAAAAAATCAACCTCAATCAAGAGTAAGTGTTGGTCTTGATTTGAAATATTATACACACTGTTAAAATAGCCACAATACATGAATTGGTGGTTGAAAGGTAACAAGTTACTATTCAATATAAGGCACAGGGTTAAAGCAGTGTTCACTAATATGTTAGAGTAATAAAATAAACCAAAATGCAAGAGAGACTGAACGATATATACATTTTATAGACCTTGAGTTTATCGCACAGCATAGCTTTCTGTTGACCAGAAACATACATTACTAGAATTGGTTGATGATGTTTTCCAATACATGTAGATTTCTAGGATTATCTAACCGGCTCATTGAAATTTTATCCACTGTTTGACAAAGTCTAAGGAGTGATTATTGCTTCTGATTATTTTAGACTAGAAGATATACAAGATAAGATAAAAGAGAAGATATTAAGTGATGAAATTACTAGTCTAGTAGAATTACCTTCTGTAGGTGATTATTGTCTAGCACCATACCATGATGATCAGGAACACAGGTACTTCTTATATAGAGTTCTCTCTCTCTAAATCTTATACTATTGATTTCATTATGTTTCAAAATTAGACAGTCATTTGAGTACAGTAAGAAAGAGCGATTCTTAGCAAGAGTTATGCTCAAAAGAATAATTTGAGTATGAACATTCTTGACGTCACCCATTTTTTTTAGTCTGTCTAATGCTGAATAGTACAAGTATAAAATAATGCATTCCATACAAACATGATACCATTTTCTGTATGGCACTATAGGCAGCACACAAGTGTCACCTTGTGGCTAAAGAATGTTAACAGTTGTGAATTATCCCAATTGACATATACCAAATGCACTTTCTGCTAATAGGTTAAGCTACAGAACAACTTTTTATGTTTAATTAATAATAATTTGTTATTTATATGTAGATGGTATAGAAGTAAAGTTGTAGAAATAGAAGATGAGAAAAGAGTAAAAGTATTCTATGTAGATTATGGTGATCCTGACTCTGTTGAATTTACTGAATTAAAATATTTACCACGAAAATATCGTACATTACCACATCAAGCTATAGAATGTCAGTTAGCTGATATCAAACCTTCAGGTATGTCTTTTTCCTTAAGTTGTCTGATTTGCAGACGTAAAATAAACTTAAATGAATGTCTTTGATAATATTATTAAAGTACTTGAATAATGACAGCCATATTGGAAAAAAACATAATTCAAAGCCCCCAATCAAAAGCCCAAATTATCTTGAGGCGTTCCTGAAGGAGAGATGATGATATCTTTATATGTAGCTAAGCTTACTATTCATTCTGAAGTAATTAATTTAAGGGTAAATTTCGATATTGACTGAAATGTAATGAATTGGCTTTCTATTTTGGGTGTGGCAAGGTGGACTGAATTGGGGAAAAATATTTAGTATGCTAAGCAATACGGAATTCATATGGATACCTAAGATAATTTAGTTTCCATGGTTACCAAGAGTGACACTGTATACATTATAAAAAAATAAAAGGTTGCTCTTATTGAAATTAGTTCTATTTTGAAACAGGTAAAGAATGGATTGAAGAATCAGGTAATTTACTCTGGGATTTATCACGATATATAACTAAAGAATATAAACCAATGGTAGCACAGGTTTGTTTTAATTTAATGTCTATCAAAATAGTTGTCTGGTGATCTTGTAGGTTGAAAATATTTGAATACTTCAATGTACTTTTAGTGTTGAAATTTTTATGTTTACTCCATTGAGATTCAAGTTAATTACATTGTAAATGACCTCAAGCCTTGACGGTTACATTGGGAGCGCTTGAGTTCAGAATGCATTCCACATATGCCAGAAAAAAAATAAGGGATCTTTTTTGGGAGCTTATAGATTGTTCACACTTTGAATATATATGGTGTTTTTGTTAGTATTATATAATGTTAACAATGTTGTAGGTATAATGTAAACAATGTTGTAAATATAATGTAAACTATGTTGTAGGTATTATGTTAACAATATTGTAGGTATAATGTTAACAATGTTGTTGGTATAGTGTTAATATTGTAAGTGTAATGTTAACAATATTGTGGGTTGAATGTAAATAATATTGTAGGTATAATGTTAACAATGTTGTAGGTATAATGTAAACTGTATTGTAGGTATGTTGTAAACATGAAGTAACAGGAAGATATGTATATGATATTAAACTATATGATACTACTAGTAATTATGATATTGATATTAGTAAAGAAATACTATGGAGATTACCACATCAACATGTTTGTGATAATGACCAAATACAGGTACTTAATCTTTTTCTATCTTAATTTTTCTCTATCTTCATAAGATGACATTTTTTAATTTCTTTAACACTTTGAACGCTGTGAACAGTGTAAATAAAGCAAAACGCAAAACAACTTATATGCAACTTCCATTCTATTAAGCAAAAAAAAATGGATCTAAAAATTACAGAATCTTCATCAGTACCAAAATAAGACTCATTAAGCAGTTTTGAAAATTATTTTTATTTTTTAGACCATGCTTTACAACTACAACTGTAAATAACAATAAGACATATTACTGTTACTGTTCTAGAAAATTTGATTCTATTTTATTATATATTTATGTTGGGTTTGACATTTATATTGCATTTCTCTTACTTCAATTTCCAGAATTTATTTCCAAAACTAACGTCCTATCCAGATTCCTTTACCAAAGTGACTGACATTCCAACTTTATGCTCCTGTATATATTGGAATGAGGTGAGTAAGCCAAGTATTTTTGTATGCCAACATCTTTCTATATAGCATTGATTGTGCATTCAAATGCATTCAAATGCAATACTCTTCGAATGAACTTGGGTATGAACTCTGTAGGCTTCCAAAATATTTTGATGTTTGATGTATTTTCTTCTACAGCAATGTGAAGGATTGATAGAACAATTAGAATGTATTGTAATGACTAGTCTATTACAACCAAGGTAAATATTATTTTCATAAACGTATCATAACTACACATCCAAGCATGTATAATGTATGTGTTACCCTGGTTTGTTCTTGGAGTGAGTCAAGAGATCTCAACATAGAGCAAGAATTGAAATTTGA